TGCAATCGTCTCAGTTGTATAAAAGCTTAAAGTGCCTCGCACATTTCACAGATCGCTTGCACGTTTGTACTTGTCGTCAGAAGAGGTAATAAACTTCGAGGAGAATTGAAAACAATCTTTTGTGTCTGTTTTCCTGTCCATTTGCAAGCACCTACGCGAGCACAGTTGTTCTACGTGTTTTCTCCATGTTATAAATACGTTTATGAGTTTCGGGACGTCTTAAATAAGTTTAAAATAACCAACCTCCCAGACGATGCCCATTTAGGGCTAGCGAATCCGAATGTCACGTTCAAACGTGTGGTCACGTGCCAGGTCGAACGGGCACCCGTATCAAACGGGCACCTGTATCAAACGGGCACCTGTTTCAAACGGGCATCCGTATCAAATGAATACCGTTTCAAATGGGTACCGTTTCGAATGGGTACCGTTTCAAACGGGCCCCCGTATCCCATAATCACGTTTCATTCAAACGGATCGACAGGTTTGATTCAAACGGGTCGACCAGTTTGAATTTCAAATGGTTTTTTTCAGTAGTGCTGTCAAAGAAAAGCCTGCATATGGCGGGCCTTGCATGTGCGTGCTTATTCTACGCTTCAAAATAACGGCAGGAGCCTCCGCCAGCAACACAAATCTCTATCAAATAGTGTACTGAATGTCCCGAATATACGGCACACGCGGTAAAAGCTGGGAGCTTGTAAGCTTCAGGAGTTAGGTGTATTTCTCAGCAGGGGACTGGCAATTCACAGATCAGATGATCAGGGACTCGCGGCAAGTGAAAAAAGGCACATGCGTCGAGCTGTTTTCTTCTCATGCGCCCCATGTACAGTGCGCTGCAATATGAAAGACCCACTGGGAGCGCGTGGCCGACGCGCTGGCTGGCGGGGGAGCTGAGAGCGCTCCTGACAGTTCCATTCTGCTTCGAGGGGAGGACGCTCACTCGGGGCTCAGCTAAGGCGCAACGCGCTTATCAGTTTGTACCGAGCCCCTAGTGAGCGTCCTCCCCTCCAGGCCGAATGGAATTGCCCGGACCGCTCGCAGCGCCCCCGCCAGCCACCACGTCCGCCACGCGCTCCCAGTGGGTCTTTCATATTGCAGCGCACTGTACCTGAACCAGCAGCGATGCGCTTGACTCAGGCTTTCATCACTTCAAAGGTGAGCCGCAGCTAATATATCTTTGCCCAGCATCTCTACGGTGGCTTCTTCGGCACGTTCGAGGGCAAGTTGTATAAATGATCAGGATCGCATTGCATCTCCACACAGGGCCTGGGATCGTCACAGTTTCGCTGCTAAAGGTATGCGCGAAAATAAAAACGATCCTCGTCAAAATGCTGCTCGCAAAGTATACCGACCGCCTGTCAGTAGGTTTGTCAGCATAAGCCATTGCTCGTCACCAGGCTTTGAGACACTCCGGATCATCTGACACGGCACGACGTGTTGACCAGACTCTCGACCACACATAGCTAGACGTGCATCCTAGGGCGAAGCAGTGTGTTTGCGCCACTACCTTCACTTCTAAGCGCTGTGCCACTGATAAAGTATTGTTTGTTGTTACCATCTATCCATAACCACACAAGACGGCGAGCGGGTCTCTGCAAGACATCAAAGCCTCCCGAAGAATATCGAAGGGCATCGTAAATCCAACAGTTGCGTAATGGGGCTTGCCAGTGAAATGGGCGTAAACCATAAATTGGCATAAATTTGCATAAACATAATCTGCTCTCGTCTGCGCTGCAAATGGGTGCTGTCCCCCACATTCCTATTTAGCAGTGTCTAAAATGGGTCACCGATCCCCCGGGGTCTCGCGCAGCCAGGGTGGATTAAAATCGTGATTTCTTTAAGAATATCCTTTTGGTTTGATTTCGATATTCATTTCAAATTAGCTAAGATATATTTATATTAATAAAGTGTATTTTTAAATCTGCCCAATCACTGACGGCAGCATGGAACATAAATTGACTGGCAAGTTAATCACATCGTAAGGTGCAGTTAAATTGAAAACCTTTCATTATTGATGTAAACTACGCCATCCTAGAGCATAAGCAGCTTGATTATATTTTTTTTTGCAAATGAGCAAGCTCGATTAGGGTAATACTTCAAAAAATCTATACACTTTGAGCTTATACATGCGAAAGCTTTTGGAAACAGCTGCCCCTTATTTTTCTCATTTTTTAAACACAAATAATAGACAAGTTGTAAATAAACAAATGTAATTGAGATTAGTTTTGACGGGAAGGTTCGATTTAAATCATCATAGTAAAGTCTGTGTGATCCAAATCACGATTTCAATCGAACTTGATTTTTTATTATCTACCCGGCTTGCAGCTGAAGATGAACTGCAACGCGCACATTTTGAACAATCGACCTGCGGCACTTGTTCAGTGCCTGCCTGCCTTTGGCGGATTGTGAACGCTCAAACATCGCGAGACATCGAAGGGTTCATAGCTTACAGTCTGCAATACATAAATAAGGATTCGAAGCAATAATTCGTCATAACTAATTATATTTAGCCGTAAGAAATCATAGAACTAAAATGAATTAGACAATAGTTGTATTACAAATAAAAGTATCGCAAAGAAGCACAGGGACAATAAGAAACTTACCGCCGAATTCAGAAACCTCACTCAAACTACACTCGAACTGAAGGGCCCCTCCACTTCCTCGAGGAAAGCTCGAGGGCCGGCGCTGGCCAATCGCGACGGCGGATCCGTCCTCGCGATCGGCCAGCGCCGGCCCTCGCGCCTTCCTCGAGGAAGTGGAGGGGCCCTTCAGTTCGAGTGTAGTTTGAGTGAGGTTTCTGAATTCGGCGGTTATTTGCGCTACTTCCCGTTATTGGCACACCGACACGCCCAACTACAAGCGCTGCTTCAGTCATTGTATTAAACGATTTGTTAATCAACAATCAAGCGCCGCTGGGGGAATCAAAGCCCAGACAGTGCAATCCGCAGCCTTCCTGTTTTTGCCCAGCCTCACGAGTGGGATACGAATTGGAGCCAACGTTACTAGATTACCTCAGGTGTGGAACTCAAGCCGAAGGGGGTACTCCCTCTCACTTCAATCCGCCAAGTGTCGTTCGAAGCGCCATCTAGATTTTCGTTTCATAACTCTGCGTTCCAAAGAGCAGAGATGAAGCGCCACCTAGACGCCGTGCTTCGAAACGTACGTAGCGATCCGGACCCGATTTCACCGTGCCCGATTCCCATAGAATATAAAATACGCTGCAGTTACCAAAGCAGCCGTCCGGCGGCGCGTCGAGCGAGGCTTGGCGGGTCATGGTGAGTGAGCGGGGGTACTGTTCGTGCATGCAGCGTCTATGAGCAGTTCCGTAACTGAGCTAATCTAATAATGTTGATTGGAGCGGAAGCAGCGGGACGAAATAGGACTCTGGTCAGCCTCCGAAAGCGGACGATGGCCTGGGCACGCGGCTGGCTCCCAAGTGGCCAAGCGTAGCTCCAGACTTGATTTCACGACATCATTGTTTTTTAATACGTCTGAAACTGTTTCAATCATTCTGATAAACGCGAGAGCACGTAATTTTGTCATGCATATTTAATGCTTCGGGACACCCATGAGCTACTCGTAACCAAGCATTACAACGTATAACGCTCACTAAGAGGTGCACGAAACGTTCTGTGTTCCCAAGGGTTACCAAAATGGTCAAAAAAAATTAAGGGGGTGCACAATTTTACTTCATCAACCCATATCTCTTTTGTTTAATAAATAGTTCCTGCAGCAGGATTTGTAAACAAATCCAAGCGTCAGATATACAGTAAAGCCTGAAAGAATAAGCCTTGCTGTATATCGGACGCCTTGATTTCTGTTTTATAAATCCTTCTACAGGAACTAATAAAGTCTAAAAAAGAAACCTTGCAGCGGCAGTGTTGTCTAGCGCAGACCAACTCGGAGCACATGCGGCGAAAGCTCGCGCTGCAGAAGCCAGGATCCTGAGCTCAATCCACAGCCCTGCCCGTTTCGATCTGGATGAGCATCGTACCGGCGTGCGGTTGCGTGTCACTACTGTGTGGTGCGCATGAAAGTCCCAACGCTAGCGGTTGTACTGCATTGGCTAAATGGCTCATCTGCAGCTAGCAATCGCCTGTTGAAGGCAGACTAACTTCAAGTCTGTGTAAGCATACCCACAACCAATATTTTACCAAACCTTGCTGCACATAGAAAGAGTCAAGTGAGCAGTGAGGCAGTAAAAATGCGCTCGCAAAAAAGGTCACTCGACGCTACTGTCGCATATAACAATGAACAGCCGTCCTCTTTATTTTAAATTGGCCAGTTTATTGCTGCTAGAATTTTATGCACTCAAGCGCCAACTCTCCAGATCGCAGCCCTGCAGCTGTTTTTCTTAAGGCGGACACTTCATTAGGTGTTACTTTTCACGCAACGCTCGTTGTAATTTCTGGATGGCCGTCTGCGTCTATTTTGTTAAACGAATGCACCTCTAAGTTTGATTTTTTTTCCCACGGCCACATAAAATAAACGTAGGTCGCAACACACGAGAGAAATCTACGAGTGCCCTTAGAGATTTTGTTTAACTTATGAGGCGCTAACAACCATTATTTTGTAAACAAAACCAAAGATCATGACATTTTGAGGCCAGCTCTACCTGTTTATCATGGGTGGCTGTAACCAATAAAATAAGAATGGGAGATATTTCTAGCATTGATATTCGTATGATTTGTTCCAAATCAATAGATAAACTGGCAATGGGCCCAGTCGATTTTCATATAGTTTGCAGTATAAACACATTCTGTAGATTGATTGGATTGAGCTCATTACTGGTGTGCAGCTAGACTAGTTTGGCTACTGGATAGTCAGATAGTTTGTCAATAAATACTTGAGTAGGCATTTTAAACACCTTTATTGAGGAACATTACTTCTGTGAGGCCATACTCTTCTGGTGAATGTTTCATGCACGACCAAGAGCTTTACAGCCTGTCGATGCCCGCCTCATATAATTTAATTCTTGAACGACTGTGTACACTCGAGCTTCATTCTGAATCCGAATAATGAGCATCTTCGACGCTCTACTTGTAAACAAAGAACGCAACAAGGAGAGCAAATATGGCCACAACTGCATAAAATCTTGAGAAGCAGCGTTTCTCCATTTCGAAGCTAGTGCAGCTGCTATTCAACGGATACAACATTCTCTTCTGGGCTCCCGAGATGGCGTCTTTGGCTCCGGCCCATCGGTGAGGCCCTTCGAGTCTGTACTGGTACGGCACACAAGGCCCCAGCAGGGCCCTGAACAACTGGTTGTCGGTAAAGAAGTACTTCAGCATCTTGGGACTGGCGCCGATCTTGTCCGCCAGTTCGTCCATGTAGCTCAGCCAGTCCACCTGGATGGTGTGGCGGGGTGAGTTGACAAAGCGCCGTCTCAGATCTTCCCTGTTTCGTGCGATGTCCTGGAGCATTTCGGGCTGCGGAGGAAGCTTGCACTTGCCGGCGAGCAGCAGCGCCATCCATCGGGCCTGTGGAGTATTAAAAGTGGGGTGAGAGTTTCGATGTTTCGCCAGGTGATACATGCCACTGAGTAGTTCCGTGCGTTCAATCGTTTTAAATACAGTTTAACTCCCGCAGGTGAACCTTGTAAAGCTGAAATCTATTCGAATGGAATGCGGCTTTGTAGTTAGTCAAGCGCTTCACTGACTTGCTGGTGTACCAATCGTGAGTGTAACTCCACCTTTATCCTCAGGAGCAGCAACGGAACTTTGGAGCTTTTTTCTCACTCCACGTATTCCTATTCATTCTATTACCGCGTCGTTCTATGTAGCTGAGTGGGGCCGCGACGCTTCGGTTATCGGAAAGTAAAAAGTAGCGCTTGTGAGGGAGTGGACTGAGCATGAGGTGGCGGCGTGCGGGAACTCTCGCTCGCGCTACATACGCAGAATTATGCTCGGTGCAGAAAACGTATGGTTTCCAGCGACATGATCAGGAAAAAATACCAGGACTGTGCGCAGACTTATATGGTACACATTACACGTAATTAAATTACTTGTAATCAATTTATTTTGGGAGTAATTTTATGATTGTTTGAGTACACTGATTAGGCTGAAATCACGAGAGTAATTTGATTACTTTTGAAAGTACTAAAATTACTTGTAAGAATTACTATTTTCAGCTCCCCTTTCTAATGGCGCCCTTTCTTTCTTCAAGTTTTCTACCAATGAGTCCTCGAACCGAGCGTCCGACAGATGATGCTTTACCAGAATTGAATGATTAAGAAGATAGGTATTTAAAAAATCGGTGATTCGAATCAAATTTTGTTTGGTACGAAATATACGTCTTTAAACCGTCAGAAAAATATTTCCTCGTGAAAACCTCAAGTAATTTAAAAATTATCACCTACTTGTTCAAGTAACGACCAATCTCATTTTTATTGAGAAGTGAAGTAATCTGGTTGAATATTTTACAAGAAAAGCTATTTGTAATTGTATGTGCTTTCTTTTTGAAGCAACGTGCACAAAATTGACTCTTCGGAATGTTTACCGTGCAAGCAGCGGTTTTTCTTTTCCCAACAACGTGTATCAGAGAGAGAAGGCCTCGTCAAGCTGAAACACCAGCTTTTTGATAATGTAGTGAGTGCGCAGGCGAGCTGGTGGATGTTAACCATTTTGTTCTTAGCCCGAGATTGAGGCAGGAAAGGAGGAAAGTTTCAAAGTAGAAGAAAAATTAACAGTCGAGGACACGTCTCTAACACAGCTAAAGACAAGTTTATTTGGTCACCCTCTTTTAAGAGGGTGACCAAAAAAAGGCACGGTATTTGATCTGTGTACAAACGATCGCGCTACTGATTTCTTGTGTTGCACTGGGTGATAGAACAAAAAATCCAAAAAATATCTGTTTCACATGGTTTGCAGTACACACCCATTTCAATCCTTTGGTTCGATTTGCCTGTCCTCATCACACATACATCTAGGAAGGCCAACTTTCCCTGCTGTTCTGCCTCGCAAGAAAACTATCGCGCGGTGAACACTGTTTAACTCTCGGTAAAAATCATTAGCATGACCTTTATCTAAAATGACCCAAACCCTCCTTCTGAATGAAGGCATGTTTTCTTTTGGTGTAGTTTCCCTTTTCACTAATGTTCCTAAAGGGGTATCCACACGAAGGAGAACTCCGCGGACGGATGTCGTGACGTCAGCAACCCGGGAAACTCCGTCTTCGGCTCCGCCGCCCATCTGCGGAGCTTTCGTGCTGACAGTACGAAGCCTCCGCTCCTCCGCCACGGAGAACGGCGCCGCGAGGCGTCAAAAAGAAATGACGTATGTGTCACGTGATGCGCGCTCCGTGGAGGAAAGGGACGGATTTCTCCTTCGTGTGGATACCCCATAACGATGTTGCCATTTATAACGCACGCGAGCGTCTACTTGATGATCAAAGCTTGGGAGCACGCACGTCACTTCACGTTTAATTTTACTTTAGCGTTCTTGCTTGAACCAATGTTTTTTCGCCTTCCGTGGAGAGACGTACCATCAGGCGAACAAGTGTCCGATTGGAAGCCCGGTATTTGTCAGTGTTGCCAATCTTGTTATGGAGCATATTGAGGAGAAAGTGCTGGAAAAAAGTGGCGTTCCCGGTCAAATTTTACAGCCGATATGACACTTTTGTCATATTAGATTTGGGTGCTGTAGCAGCGTTATATAATGACAATGAGCGAAGTAAAGTATGATTGGTGCACAGAAGAACGAAGCGAATGTGTTTAACTGCTGCTACTGATCAGCATAGTTACCCCGCTATACTCTCGAATAGTAATTTCAGAATAAGTGAAGGATGCAGGTGTACTGCTTTGATGGGAGCTCAAGATGCTCCAGCGCACGTGCGCCCATAGCTTTGACTGCATAGCCGCATAATGTTGTCCGCAAGTATTGTGCGCTAACTGTGGCAAAGCGTAACTTCAGTTAAGTGTGCGCGTGCAACAAGGGCATAAGACCTGTGACGAACTTTTCGTTTCATCACATAAATGTGGATTGAAGCAACCTGTGCCGTCAGAGCTTTTTAAAACGTGCGCTGGCCTGCACTTCGACGTTGATACACTTCACGATGTCATCGTGCGTGATTTCGACTTCACAGTGTTTCCACCCTTCTCAAATATCGCGGAAGCCTCCACAGGCAGGCGTTCGGCTCTCGCGCACCCCGAGCGTTTGATCAAAGCTGTGTACTCTTCGTTTTCGAAATCCCAAAAATATTTCACCCCGAGAATAGTTGTGTCGCTCGTCACCAACTTAATTTAACGAGTCGCGTACTCCCACAAAAAAAAACCGCTGAACCTTCAAAGCCTTCGTTCCCTCGGCTAGAAAAGCAAGCCGGCTGTGAAACTTAATTCCCGGCTTTTATGATCACCCTATGGTGGGTCCGGACATTTCATCAAACGCCGTTTCATCGAATGCCGTTTCATCGAACGTCGTTTCCTCGAACTCCGTTTCATAGAAGCCGTTTCATCGAACGCCTTTTCATCGAATAACGTTACAGTCTGTAATATTTTGGAATTTAATTTTTATACATAACTTCATCTAATTCTCTGTTTTTCTTTTGTCTTTTTTTTCTTTTTTGTTTCTCTTTTTATATCACTGGGTGCAGTGACGAGATGAGTTCCATCGTGAACATATCCTGCTTCGAGAAGATAGACTCCATGAAACAATGACCCCTCTCCATGTCACATGAAACAGTTACAAATGAGACAAAAATGAAAGACGTTTACAACTCCCTGTAACGCCGAATTAGAGCGCAGCTCTTGAGGGGGAGGAGGGAAGGGTACTAAGGGGGTCGGTCAAGTGACCTGGGGTGGCGGGGGTTCACGTGACCTTGTGGGAGTCACATGACGATGCAGTGACGTCACTAATGACGTCATCAGTGATCATGACGATGACGGTGCGGATGCCGGTAACGTCATCAGTGACGTCACTGATGACGTCATTAGTGATGATGACGATGCGGATGCCGGTGACGTCATCAGTGACGTCACTGCTGATGTCATCAGTGATGATGACGATGCGGATGCCGGTGACGTCATTAATGACGTCACAGATGACGTCATCAGTGGTGATGACGTCAGCGGGTGGGCCACGTGAACTCGGGGGTATTCCCAGGTCACGTGACCCCGGGGGGGTCACGTGACCTGGTAACCATCGTAACCTTCGTGAGGGTAACCCTAGTAACCCTTGTGAGGGCAACTCTCGTGACCCTCGTGAGGGTAACTCTCATAACCCTCGTGACGCTCGTGAGGGTCACCCTTTTGAGGGTAACTAACCCTCATAGCCCTCGTGAGGGTAACCCTGGTGAGAGTAACCCTCGTGACCCTCGTAACCCTCACGAGGGTTACGAGGGTTACTTGCGGTTACGCCGACAACGGCGGCGACGGCGACGCCGACGACGTCGCCGGGAATCAGCGCCTAAGAGCTGCGCTCTAAAAACAGAAAGCACAGACAATGAAAAGTGTTTCAAGTGTCTGTCCTTTATTTGCAGTGTCGTGGTTTCAGTAATGTACATGAGTAAAACTTTTCAGTAAGTCGCATACCCAATTCTTTTTATTTCTTTTGATACCAATTGTTATTATTTTTAGTAGTTTGACACCACCTTCAAATCAATTTCACAAGTGACTACCTTAGTCTTAACAAATGCAAAGTGAAACATCTATAAAGCACTGTTATGCCCCGAAACTCAGTACAGAGCCATAACAAAGAAATTTGATGAAACAGCTCTTTGCGATTCGATGCAACGGCGTTCGATGAAATGTCCGTTCATTCGATGAAACGGCGTTCGATGAAACGGCGTTCGACGAAATGTACGCTACCCCACTTTAAGGTACTGAGACAAAAGAAAAAGTATTCATGATATAACATTTTGAAGACTCAGCGCTTACGAAAAATTATTGACTTCATTTTATGTACATTCAAACCTCACGTCGAGGCCCCATGTCTTTGTCTATAGCAACGGCCCTAGCAACGGCTTGTTTGGAGCATAGCGAAATGTCGTGACGTCAGCAGTTACGATTCAATTGTTGGTTGTTCCTAGGTTCGATGCTCCACCTAACGTTAAGGTTTTTGTTTTTAATGATCCAAACACGTAAAAAAAGGCGCCAAACATGGTTGATGAAAGTGAAACGCGTGAAGCGTCCTGCGCTGAAGGTTTGCACAAGTTACAACTCACATGATAGGGCCTCGAGCTAATTGTGGGAACCTCGATAAGAATATATATATATATATATATATATATATAACGGGCATGGTGGCGGGAGACCGAAGGCATGGGTATGTAACTGAGAATTAAAAAAGACTTGATGAAAACAGCAAAAACGGACGATTTATTCTTCGACGTTTCGGCCGAAGTCCGGCCAGAGTCAGGAAGAACTTTTACATTAGAACGCGGGTGGTATTTATACAATGCTACGGTCGAGTCCAAGTTCCAAAACGGCGGAATGACGGAGTTTCCAAAGAAGCGTAGGAAGAGTTTCAGATGGGCAAACGTTTATACAATGCAACGGTCGGGTCCATATTTCGGCGGGGTGACGGTTGGAGCATTCGTGAGAGGAAAGCGTAGGGCAGTTCGTATCCGGTGACCGTCAACCTTCCTCACCCGAATACGAAATGACTTTCATTCATTATTCTGATGATGCCAAAATAATGACTGAAAGGAAAACTCTAACCAAAAAATAATATGGAGTCCGACCCCGTACGAGAATGTCAGATCGGAGCGGTTCCAGTTTCGATCCGCGGGATTCTAAACTTGAGGACAGTTTCGATCCGCGCGATTCTGGGAGTAACCAGTCGGATCCAGGGAGACGCAACACACTGGAATCACACGGTGTTCGGTGGATCCGATCCGCTCCCCTTGTTCCAGTAGAGTCCGCTCCCGGCCAGCGGGCGCGTACATGCGTGACTGGAGGAGGGGAGGGGGGCGTGGGGTCGCGGGAGGGGGGGGGGGGGGGGGGGGGAGGCGGAGAATTGTTGCGGTTTCCCGCAGGTCACGTGTTAGGGACAGGCGCATCCGCTAAGCAGGCGCTGCGAGCGGGCGTTCTCCGCGCGCGTGCCTGGCTTTGTCTGTTGTCTGTTGCAGTCGGCGGCAGCGCAGCCAGCGCAGCGCCGAGAGTTTACTCAGTTTAGTTTCTTCGCTCTCGTCGGTCTGTCATTCGGCGCTCGCCCGGCGGCGACGTTCGGGCTGCAGGCGCACGGATACTGACGTGCCCATCGTTCCCTGGATGGATACCCACTGACCTCGTCTTTGAATCTTTATATAGTGTGAAGCTGGCGACCCATTGCACTTTGGCTCGGCATCTGGATGCGCTTGGCGCTGGTGTGCTTGGTGAAACTACCTGGACAACTCGGATACCGCTTGCCCGCCGGAACGTCCCGATTTGAACGTAAACGTTCGGCAGCCCTCTGCCTGGTTAGAAGTAGACATGAAGCGAAAAATAGGGACTGTAACCAAAAATTTAATAAACATTTACCCGACGTTTTGGAACCAGTTCGGTCCCTTGTTCACGGGTGAGTGACTCACGTGAGTCACTCACCTGCGAACAAGAGACCGAACTGGTCCCGAAATGTCGGGTAAATGTTTATTGAATTTTTGGTTAGAGTTCCCATTTTTCGCTTCACAACTTCCCCATGCAATCCAACACTGGATACTGTGCTTCTGCGTGCTGTGTGTGTATTGCGTACATCGTCTTTGGTGACGACGCACGCCTTGCATTGCCTGTTGCAGTCAACAGCAGCGCTTCGAGAGTTTCGGTTCTTCTCCGCTCCCGTCGGACTACCGGCCGGCGCTCGCCCGGCGCCGACGTTCGCGCTGCGGGCCCACGGATACTGACGCCCCTATCAATTTCCCTGGATGGATACCCACTGACCTCGGCTTTAAATCTTTATATAGTGTGAAGCTGCCGACCCATTGCAGCTTGGCTCGGCATCTGGATGCACTGGTGTGCTTGTTGACAACACTTGGACATTTTGGATACCGCACGCCGGAACTTCCCGATGCACTCAACACTGGATACTGTGCTTGTGCGTGCTGTGTGTGTATGTTCCGTGCACCGTGTTTAATAACGACGCGACGACGCCTGGACGACCGTGTGCGCCGCCGGAATTACCGCTGCGCTCACCACTGGACTCAACGAAAGTCTTTCGCGCGATGCGCTTAGCTGTTACAAGCGAGAGGTCGTCGGGATTTCAGACCCATTCCGCCTGGGTCTGAAATCGCGATGATCTCTCGCTTGCAACGACTAAGGGCATAACACGAAATTCTTTTGTTGAGTCCAGTGGTGAGCGCAGCGAGAATTCCGGTGGTGCACCGCCTGGTTTAAAATTGGGGCTGGAAATGCGCGGTTCCAGGCTGGATACAAACTGGTGCCCCAATTTTGGGTCTAGGCGGAACCGAAATTTTTCATTCCGGCCTGAACCTGACATTTTCGTACGGGACGTTTCAAGGCCAGCTCGGTCGCTTGTTCACAGGTGACTGTTGTTGTTCATTCATTGGCATTCCTATTTAGGTGGATGTTCACCAAAAGGTTTACGTTCAATTGATGCCAAAATATCTTGCTTCACGACGCTTCTCTTTGTTTTTTTTCTGCGGAATGCGTAAACCGGCGTCTTTTGGCTCACGCAGAGCCGTGTATACAGAGAGTCTGGTCAATGGGAGGCGCAGGCAGAACCAGGGCGTGCACCAGACGCAGAAAGAGGGCTTGACATGCTCTCTTGGCCAACCAGAAGCCGAAAAAAATCCCTTAGCGGTGGTAGCGAGAACTGTTTTATTCATAGGTAGATGTTGGAATATGGCTTGAATAAGCTCGTAAGAGTCAAATGTAGTTACCCTTCATGATGGAAAATAGGGTGTACGAGATGTTTTGATCATGATCATGCAAAAAAAATGTAAGAAACGAATGCCCCGCTCAACTCTGTCTCGCTTGCACAGAGGGTGACCGCTCGGACGGCCGTTTGCCGGCCCTCGGCGCTTGGCGTACAAATTACGTCGGTCGTTCCGCTAGGCGCACTCTTCCAGAATGATTTTGGATGACCGTGATTGAAACAGCACGTGCACCATATTTTCAGTCACCGAGAGTTACTCCGACGCACTTATTAAGTTTGTTTCTCGCGACCACCGCCTGGATATTATTTCTGGCTTCTGGTTGGCCACATTCAAGTTAGCGAACGTGCACTGGAACACGCCCAGCCCGCTTTCGGCCAATGGCGCCGCCTCATTTCACTCCCATACTTTCCAACGAATGGCCAAACTCTCTACATATACGGCTCTGGGCTCACGTTGTTAGCGTCTTATCTTTGACCTGTGCTACTGAGGGGTTTTAACCATTTAGTTTTCCTTTGTATTTTTCCGTTATTGCGCTGGGCAAAAGAGCAGACACACTTGTACACGCGCGAATAAGTTCGAGTTCAGGTCGAGCGCTGAGGCGATACTCCTGACGAAAATTTGGACCTGAGTACGCGGCGGGCGCTGACGCAGCACTCCTGATCAATTCATGCTCAGGGTGAACGCCCTACATAAGACAGTTTCGGATAATCGATCCATCTGCGACTGAACCGCGCAGCGCTTCTATTGGTTTTTGAATTCCATTCTCTCATGGCCTTAGAAAAATAATTTGAAGCAATTTTGTGTAAAGTGTTCGCCAAACTTATCCGGAACACGCCAACGGCGTCTTATGTGAGCGGTATCTTGATGGCAGCCGAAGAACTGCTTCGTGACGTAGCGCTACGTGGAACAGTCAGAGCAGGGGAGGCCGCTCGGTGGACCGTGGACACCTTAGCGATTTTACCGGCCGGACAATCTATTTTTATTGCTACCTTTTCGCACGAAGTCTCAGAAGATGTTGAAACAATCAGTGAGTGAACGATTCAGTCAGTACGTATTTGATTTTTTTACTGAATGAAGCAAAAAGCAGATCGCCTCGCAGACGAATCTGCGGCGTTGGCTCTGGCCCAGCTGTCATTTCTGCTTTAAGAATGTGCCTCTTCTGCTCGGATTGTTCCATGAGCACTACGTTATGAAGTGTTTCATCGGCTTCTACCAAGATCGCGTTCCCATGCTAGAAGACGCTGTTCACGTGTTCCAGATAAGTGTTGAACGCTGCAGGTCACGTATCAAGGGATTAAGAAATGCATGCATTATGCTTTCCTCTAGCAATCCTGCATCGGGCTTCGTTAAAAGAAAGCAGCTGTGAAAATGTTTTGCACACATTCGAGTAGGATTTGGAATATTGATCAAAAAGCGCTTACCTGCAGTTCAATTACTGGAAATACGGATCCAGAGGGCTGCACGAGTCCAATAATGGCCAGGGTTGGGTGCTGCAAGCCAGGCGGGAAGACGTTCTTGTAGAGCTGTACCTCGTTGTTGACAACTGGCATCACGTCCTCGGAGAGCATGGGGAACTTGATCCGGTAGCCCGTGGCCAGGATCACATCGTCTAATTTTGTCACCTGTGCACGTGTGATGATGCTTGTCTTTTACAACCCGCAACACTACGCTCGAAACACGTGCTTTTATTTAGCATTAATTATCGTACAGTTCAGCCGGTTTTTTGACTGACTGACCGGCTTTTCACCTTGTTTCGTTTCATGATAATTCCTTAAGATCTCAACCATGTTATTTCTCAGTCGAAACATTACAAAGCAATAACTTTCGCTCGTTAACTTGCTTAAAATTTATAATATCAGCAATATGAAACACGATTTCCACTCTTTTATTATTGCCAGGGTCGGCTTAGCGCTTTCATGTCCGATATGGGATGTAGCCTGAATAAAGCATCCAGCGCGGAGCATGCAGTGCAGAGCGTGCAATCACCGATCTGACTCTCCCTGAGCAATCGGCAATGGCTATCTGGGCAGGTACGTTCTTAAGTATGCGCTCAGGAAGAGCATGGCGAACTACGTGTGTTATTAATGCAATTGGTTGCGGGGTTTCCTTCTTACCAGAGCAGCAAAAGAACGACAACGGCGGGCGCAGCAAGGTAAGAACGAGAGCAAAGGACGCTACTGCGAAACAAAAGCGCTATGGCCAGCAGCGACAGAAAGCCACTCGCAATTTCACGGCGGCCGACAGGGACTTCAACTACAGTGTACTAGAATGCAGGGAAGTATTTAGGGGATTGTTCTAGATATCCGATCGGTTGAGACGCATCCCGATACAATCGCAAGAGTACGCGCACGGTTTATGTCTCCGCATTTGGTCACAAAAGTGCACTTTCGCTCGCATAAAGAGGGTGAATAGGTTTTGAGTGGGAGTAAATTTAGCTGACTTTGCGTGCTTGACCGAGGTCACCTGAAATCACGGCCGACTTCCGAGAAATATCGCATAAAACAAATATGAACGAAGAATAAAATGCCCTATGTCTATATTTGCTCAAAAAGGTGTGGCTGAATGTTAGCCGTAGTTAGCCGAGGCACCCGGCGCCCCACCGCGATTGTATTAAAGTACTTCGTAGAACATAATATTTTGTGTTTGTGTGCTTTTATATAAACGTACCGATACTTATTCTAAGCACTACTTCACCTTCAGAAGTTTTTTTTTTAGAGCGCAGCTCTTAGGCGCCCGTTTCCGCCTTCAGTGGCGTCGGCGTAACCGCGCGGTGCATTATGGGTAAATTCCCCGCTAAATCTACCGGAGAAGTTTCCCCGCTAAATCTAGCGGAAAATTTATCCGCTAAATCTAGCCGGAAATTTTCCCCACAAAATCTAGCGGAAAAATTTCCCCGCTAAATCTAGCGGAAAAATTTTCCCGCTAAATCTAGCGGAAAAATTTTCCCGCTAAATTTAGCGGCAAAATTTCCTCGCTAAATCTAGCGGAAAAATGTCCCCGCTAAATCTAGCGGGAAATTTCCTCGCTATATGTAGCGGGAAAATTTCCCCGCTATATTTAGCGGAACAATTTCCACGCTAAATCTAGCGGAAAAATTTCCCCGCTAAATCTAGTGAAAAATTTCTCTGGGGGGGTCACGTGACCACCGTCGAGGTCACTTGACCCTCAGGTCACGTGACCCGCTCCCAAAGGTCACGTGATTTCGGGGGGGGGGGGGGAAGCGGGGGGTCACGTGACCACACCCCCATGTCACGTGCCCTCCCCCCCCCCCTCGAGGTCACGTGACCCCCCTCCCGAGAACCCGTAACCCTCAGTACCCTTCCCTCCTCCTCCTCAAGAGCTGAGCTCTAATTCGCCGTTACTGGGAGTTGTAAACAGCCTTCTTTTTATTTTTTGTTTGCCCTCTTAGGATTTGATGTAGTGCGTCCATAAGAGCAGTCGCCAAAGCAGTTTTTTTCTCTTTCTCGCTGTTGCTACTGTGTGCAAACAACACCACAGAAAGGAACTAAAACGTGCCTTATATTTTCTTCAAATCGGCGTCTTCAGCCCAAAAGACTCGACGTATAAACCGTCGGAGAAATGGGTGCTCCGACACGCCGCACACGGAGGTTTGAGACACAAGCTCGCTACTTCTCTTCCAACATGACGTTCCGTTCAGCTCCGCACAATTCCGGTATCCCTATGAGAACCTCCTTAGCCACCATGCAGCAGCTCCTTCATGTTGTCTAATTCCGCTTGAACCTAATTTTTGTAGTTTTAAAACACACAAAACATTTACATTATATTAGATTGAAGTTTCCGTGTCCTTGAAGATTTTACGTAAGGTCAATTTTTCCTCAGCATTCTCTAATCCCGATGGACCCCATGCACCTTAGAATCAATGCCAGCGAAGAGAGCACTGCTGACATTTAACGTGAATACCCAACCCGCTTCTTGCTGCGTGTCTCCCCAACGCCACATGACACTAACTCCATCGTTCCCATCGGCTTGCTATGGATGCGCGAAATGAGCAGCTCGTTTTGTGCACGCGGGATAACTCCATGGGGTCCATGGCCTTCACGACGATAACGACGACTCGCGTAACGTACGGCTTACAACCTCTTCCCCGGTCCAGCCCCTCCTCTCCCGATCTCGTCGATCGTGACGTGACGACATGACTTACGCGGCATCCGTGTCGCCATTGGATGCGGCCGTGCGACACTCGGACTGCCGTGCGGCAAATATCTGGCAAGTTGGACGCACGCCGGAGCCAGACGGAGGAGCCCTGATTCGACGCCCCGGTGCAACCAAACTTGTCGTATCTGACCGACGTTGCTATTATTCGTACGTCGGATCGGAAAGTTCCAACACACAAGTGTGTTGTGCTTAACGGTCTCTATGTGCTGCACCCGTGCTTCCCTTCGGAGTGAGCGAACGACGAGTGACATGCTTCTGTGTTTTAAGCAACAGGGTTATGGCATGCGAAGATTAGGCATGTGCCCCTTATCTTGCAAAGAAAAAGGAGGTCTAATATACGAGACAAGACTACGCAGCTGCGATAGAAAAATAAAATGAATTGCCTTGGCAACTGCTTTTGCCGAGGCGCTACCGCTTACACTACTAAGATACAAAAAAATAAAAAAGTGTGTGAAGGTAAATTTCTGCTTGAAAAGAGTGCCGGTGGGCTGACAAAAAAAGTTAAAAAAGAAAAATAGCATGCTTCCGAGAGGGATCGAACTCAGCTCCACTCGTACCTGAGAGCGGCATCCCAGTCTCCAGGCTACCGCTTTTGGTTTTTCTAAATATTTGTTACACTAGTTGCCGCTCCTGTTTTGTTTCCAAGATAGCATTTGTTTACATTATAGATACACAATAAACATAATAACTATATTGCAGTACAAAACATGCTGTAAAGAATAACCGGTATCCAAATCCTATCAGGCGGAACACAAAATAAATGTACTTACACTTACACTCAATGTGTGTTTAAAAAGGCCATTGGGTCCATCTAGGACAGACTTAAACTCTAATAAGTTTCTAGCATGGTCCTATCAGCATTAAGTAAATGTTTAGCCCACGTTGTGTTGGTCAAGAGAAAAGGGCTCCGAGCTCAGGAAAGACACGTCAACCTCTGAGATTCCATGCAGAACTTCCTTCTTCATTTTTATTTTGAGCTCCTTCTCTCGCGCTCGCACGCGCGGCACCGGAGCTCACACGAGCCGCGCGAGTCGCCTTTTTTGGCTCGTCACATGCCGGGGTTTTAGAAACCGTCGACCCGACATTGCGCTTTCATCAGACAAAAACAAAACAACATTAAACAAATACCGCGCTCTGAGATATGCACGAGAGTGAATGTATACATAAAAAAATGCTGAATGAGACACGCTATAAACAAGTGCACAGACTATAAATTCCAAAAGTTCAGTCATCGGGTAGAGGCACTTTAATTCGCGGAAAGGAGTAGACAGTGTCATCAGTGACTGCTTTGATCCTTTTGTAGTCGACGCACATTCGTGTTCATCCGTCCTTTTTCGTGACTAAAACCAAGGGGGATGCCCACGGACTGCGCGATGGTTGCACAATCTTGGCATCGATGAGATCCTTGATCCTCACCTTGACGACATCACGCTGCGCCGTCGACAGTCAACGTGGTCTCTGGGAGACAGGTCTCGCATTACCTGTCGGAATGGAGTGAGGCTCAAGCCGACAGTTTCCAACGTCAATGCTGGTTCGCGCGAAGCAAGCTATGTTCTTTGCAAGAAGCTCTTGAACTTTTTGAAGCTCCTCAGGTGCCAGCATTGAACCAATGTTGAACGTGACACCCTCAACCGATAGCGGTTGATGTTGAGGGCCGACGATTTCCAAAGCATTTGTGCGATCCAGGTCCTCCGACGAAGGCAAGCTTGAGCCACCTAAGATGGAAGCAATTCTGTCGTCGCTAAGCTCGATGTCTTCGACACTTGTGATCCCCCTAGCGACTCGACAGTAGCATCAGAGGGTAGAGCCACTGCTCGAGACGACGGGTTGACCAGGATACGTAGAACGTGCTCTCGTTCTTATCGATAACCATGGGTTCAACTAGAAGGCAGTGGCGGTCGTAGAGCAATTTTGTGCCGCTCACCTCTACCTTCGTTGATTGTCCTCGGACAAGATTCTTCAGGCGTGCTTAAACAAACTTTAGGAACCGCGGAGGTATCAGCTGCTCCGTAACCAAGATGACCTTATGACATGTCGTAAGCGGAGGAATCGAGAAGCTATTTGCACCCCAATTGATCATGGCCTTGCACGCTGTCAGGAAATCGTCACCAAGGAGCAACTTTTCTTCCTCCAGATATGGAACCACGATGAATGCCTGGTTCAGCGTCTGTCCGTCAGCTGTCACTGTGGCAGTCACTTCGCCGAGGTTCGTGAGGAATTGACCACTTGCACCATGGAGATGGATGGAAGAAGGTTGAATCAGAAGTTGCAACTGGTTGGCGATGGAAACGTTGATGAGACTTCTCATTGCCCCTGAATCCAAGGAAGATGTTAGAGGCTGTCCGTTCAGTTGAACCTTTATGGTTTTGGTACCCACTGCTGCGCCACATGGGATGCGCCGAACTACTGATGACCTCTCGCAGGCGTGAGAGGCATCAGCTTGTCA